CACGGTGCACACCCTGAGAACCGGAATCGGGGCTCCGGGACCCCGCGGGAGGACGAACCCGGGCGCTGCCCCCCCGAGGGAGGAGGCACGAGGCGGGATGCTCGGGGTCCCCGTGTCTCCCGTCCCAGCGCCCTGGCTGACCCCCGTCCTCCTCTCCTCTCTTCTAGCCTCTGGCATTCCCCGGAGCTGCTCTCCGACATCCAGGACGGCTACAGCGTCTCAGGGCACCTGCTGGTCTGCTTCTCCTCGGGTAAGGAGCCAGGCAGGGCGATGGCCGTGGCCATCCCACTCCCTCTTCGGCCTCGCCCGGCACGCTGGCCCGGGATGAGCCCCCGGCTCAAGGGCCGGGCGACTCTCCGTGCCGCCTGCCTTAATCACGAGCGTGGAGCCCGCAGGCTGCCAGGGCCCGGCCGTCTCCCCACGCTCAACTGGAGCGAAGGCGTTTCCAACGCCTGGAGCACAGTCACGCCACCCTCTTCCTCCTTGCTGCTCCCCCTTACCCTAGCACGTGACGGTGCACGAGCCAGACCCCCTCAATGCTCTCCTTCATCCCACAGGCTACTTCATCCATGACAGCCTTGACATCATCTTCAACCATCAGTCCCGCTCGTCTTGGGAGTACCTGGTGCACCACGCCATGGTGAGTACGGCCCCGGGGAGGCAAGGGGCCAGCATGGGGGGGCTACCACGCACCCCAGGGCTCAGCCCATGCAGGTTTCGTGTGCTACGGCGGGGCAAGCCGGAGCCCTTCCCTCCACCTCGCCCTGGCCGCCAGGTAGGCTGCGTATCAACAAGGCAAGGGTGCCCGGCAGGGCAGGACGCCTGCCAGCGTCGGCTCCGAGCGCCGGGAGCCAGACAGGCTGCCGCGCCAGGCAAGGGAAGAGCTGGAGGCTGGTCCCAGCTCCCCAGCGCAGGGAGGTGTAACTGGTCCCGGGGGAACTGGCTCTCCAGACTGGTTTTCTCTTGGCTCAGGTGCCTGGGGGGCTGCTGGGATCTCTGGGTGGTGGGGGAGCAGCCCTGTGTATGCCCAAACCTTGGTGGGGAGGACTTGCCTCCCCCAGGGTGAGGAAGGCTGACCCTGCCGTGTTCCCCCCCTCCCACTCCCAGGCCATCTCTGCCTTCGTCTCGCTCATCATCACGGGCCGCTTCCTGGTGGCGGCAATGCTGCTGCTGCTGGTGGAGGTGAGCAACATCTTCCTCACCGTCCGCATGCTGCTGAAGATGAGCAACGTGCCTTCCCCGGCGCTCTACGAGGCCAACAAGTACATCAACCTGGTGATGTACTTCGCCTTCCGCCTGGCGCCCCAGGCTTACCTCACCTGGTACTTCCTCCGCTACGTGGAGGTGCAGGGCCAGGGTGCCTTCCTCACCGCCAACCTCCTGCTGCTCGACGCCATGATCCTCATGTACTTCTCCCGCCTCCTCCGCTCTGATTTTTTCCCCTCCCTGCACAAGGGCTCTGTGAGGAGAGACGTGGATGGTGAGAAGTTTCTGATAGACTGAGACATGTGTGCTGAGGAGGACCCGGGCTCCAGCTCCTGGAGGTCTTGGCCTCTCCAAACCTGCTCTGATGTGCCTTAGGGCTCGCTCCCTGGCCCCGGGCCCTGCCTTCACCTGCTCTGCTGCCTAAAAGCGCTTCCCTGCTGGACCAGCCCGACAGCCTCACCCAGCCATAGGGACGCTGCCGAAGCCAGGGGCACGGCTGATGGAGAAGCAGCCCAAGCCGGCTTCTGTGCAGGCAGCTGGAGGGCCAGGGGTGGCTGCGTTTAGGAGCTGATGGCCTGAGAGGGTTGCGAGGGAAGGGACGAGTCCCTCCCGTGGTGATGTTGGGTGTTATGTGCATTAAAATCGGTCTGTTTACTGCTGCCGCAGCACGTCTGGGCTGGATTTTTCTGTGGGGCAGAGCGGGGTCAGGGAGAGGATGGCAGGGACAGGGCCATGGGAAAGGATGTGGTCCTGTTCCCAGCAGAGGGCTGGTGGTCCTCAGGAAGGGAGAGGGCATATTTCTGCCGCTCGCTTTGTTCTAGGGACCCTCCAGGGATGCACTCAAGCCTGCTGGGTCCTACCAGCCCAGCTGCACCGTGCTGAGCCTGAAATTGCAAGGCCCCATCCCTCCCACGGATGGGTCCCTCCCCTCCTTCTTATTCATCTGCTCTTCCAGAGACCCAGGGCTGTGCAGGGAGCAGGGGAAGGAAGCCAGGAGAGGTACCAAGCCCTTGCTGCAGTCCCTGACCTGCCTGTCTCCAGCCCAGGCTGAGGAGCCTGGCTGGGCTGCATGACTCACCCTGCAGCCACGTGAAGTGGAGCTGGCATGGAAAAGCCCTCTGAGGCCATGGGCTCTTCCTGGAAGACTGCTGTATAGTTGCATCCCCCCTGGAGCGGTCCTCACCAGCACAGCGCAGCTCCAGCCCCCTGCAAGCGCAGGTCCTTTCCTGCAGCAGCAGGACCAGGCTGCTTCCAGCAGCCCCCCCCCAGAGCGGTGGGAGGAGAAAGGGGGTTCAGCTGTCCAGGGGAGCAGGGCCAGAACCGGCCCAGCCGGTCCCGTGGAGTACCAAAGCACTGGGAAGGCAAATCCTGCTGACGTGACAGCACCGGACTGGCAGAAGCAGTGGGGCTTAGAGGGACTCCTGCCCAGCCCCTGCTCCAGGGCAGGATCCGTCCTACCAACCCCACCACCACCCCAGCTCAGGCAGAGACAGGTGCTGCAGTTGAAATAAGCTGGTGATTAAATGGAAGCAGTGGGGGATCACCTTCCCTCCAGAGAGCCGGGAAACACCCCACAGGGCCGGGATCTTTCCGGAGCTCCCCGGCATGCACTGATGCAGCAGCAGGGGGTACATGCTGGGAATAGCCTAGCAGCCAGAGTGGAGGAGATGTGATACTTGGGATGCTGTGTGGGCAGGGACCTACACCAGCTTCAAACCCGCCACCTCACCCCCTCCTTGCTCAAAGCAGAGCTCAGCAGCCCCACGCCAAGCTGCGAGGAGCCCCGGCAGAGCACAGCCTTACCCTCAGCAGCACATCCCAACAGCTTTGCATCTTCCGAATTGCAGCTTAAGCCCTGTGGCCTCTGTGCACTGACTCCATCTGCAAATACCCCACGCAATCAAGCCCAAATCTTAGTTTCCCCTCACCCTGATCACTTCACCTTCCCCCTTGTCTCTCTGCACGGAGCAGACACAGTTCTGCCCCAGCAGGTCACAGGCTCAGGCAGACCAGCCCATGCTCTCACCACTCTTACAGCAGCATCAAAGGGCCAGGCATGACAAAGCTTCCCAAAACAGGGAGCCCAGCACCCCGTTCCCCTCCTGGCTTCCAGCTGGAGCATCTCCCAGCAGCGCAGCACTGGCCAGGCTGGGGCAGCTGTGGGTCAGGCCAGCTGCCAGCCCAGAGCGAGAGGCAAGTGCGGGGAAGCGAAGTGCCAGACAGCAGCAGCCACCAGGCTAAGTTGAGGCAGGGTCAGGGCAGACTGCAAGTCATGCTGATGTGAAATCCCTCCCCAGTCTCCATGCTGCAGCACATACCCGCTCCTCACCCCAGCAGCGATACCGGCTTTGCTACAAGAGGGGCACTTCTTTCCCCCCTGATCTTTCTTGGGGTGACTACAGCTAAGAAGGCAGCACAAAGCTCAGGCAGACCCCCGGAGCCCCTGCTGCTGCTTGTCCCCTCCCCAAGCTGCACCCAGGCCACGGGCAGGAGGTTGGGTTGGTGCCCTCAACCCCCCAGGCCAGCAGATCAGAGCCGACCCCAGGAGGGAGCAGGGCTGTCCCAGGTCCTCACCCCACTGTATTCCCAGCAGCGGGACTGTGTCACCAGCAAGGAAGGCTGCCTGTTGTTCAGCCTTATCTGATGCCACACAGCCTGCCAGCAGCCCTTGCTCTCCAAGTTTCAAGCCCCTGACGTGGGCTTGGGGAGGGCGAGGGGTAAGAGCCTGGGTTCTGCCTTGTGCCCAGGGTGCCAGCAGAGCCCTGCACAACACCCAAAGATCAGGAGGGACCAGCATCCAGGAAAGCAGAAGTTTCTCCAGGCAATTTTTCATCCTTTACAGCAGGGAGGGAGTATCTCTTGCCTCCCCTACCAGCTGAACATCTCACAGGGCCCAGCAAGAAGGGGGGGTGCTTCCAGGCAGCCCCCAATTCTAACCCCAGCTTTGAGAAGCCGATTGACAGCTGCCAAGGTCTGCCTGCACAAAGGCAAGCATGCAGGCTTTGCGATACCCAGAGCCACGCTCCTCGGATGGGGCAAGGGTGTGATGGCAGCTGGCCTCTCCCACACGACCACCACAGCCCCCCAGCCTCCCCAGTAGACAGATTCAGCTGCTCTGCAGGCTGCCCCAGTCCCTCCACATCGCTCTTCTATCCCAGGCAGCTTGTGGTGTACCTAGCAGATCCAGCTGCGCTTCCCCAGCACCTGGAGCTGCGAGCACGAGGTGAAGTCTCAAGCCAAGGGCTATGCAACCCAGCACAGATCTTTACCCCACAGTCCCTAAAGTAGCAATTGGGACAGCTCGCCCTTTTCGCCCACCACCATCCTTCACATATGTGCAAACCACCACCCCGGGACTCTGCCAAGCCCTGCAAGAGGCTCGAAGGAACTCTGTGTCCCACTGCCCAAGAGCTTAATTACCCAATCAATATTTGGTCACAGCTTTTACCATCTCAGTCAAGTGTAACTACATACTTAAGATCAAACAGCCCTAAAGGCTTATCTGTACTTCATCTCCATTCCCTCCTCACCCAGGGCTCCACACTCTTGCAACTCTCAAAGCACTCTGAAAAGCTGGTTTCATCCACAAATTTGAGGAAGCAAAATACTGCTGAGGCAGCAACAGCAGCTACTTTGGAAACAGCCCTGACGAGGGCCATGAACCCTGTGAGGTTACAGGCAACAGGAACAGCGTTGGGGAAACCAGGCTGCGATTCACACGCTGCAGCGTGGGGAGTAGGGATCATACCAGAAAAAAAAAAAAAACAACCACAAAGCCTCTGGTATTGGATTAGCTCGAGGGCTTCGTCAAGTGAAGCTTGCAGCATAAGCAAATAGCTGATACGCTCAGAAAATGGTGCAACACTCCACTTGTGCCAGATCTGAACCATTAAGACGTTTTTGTTGCAGTTACTACCTCCCTCCTGGGTACTCATCAGCCTGCAGTATGCTCCACAAGAAAGCTATGTAGGACACAGATCACAAACACATGCTAAGTACGTGGTGCAAGAAAATGCAAGAGGCTACCAGAGGTCTCGGGTAAATACAGAGATATTTGAGATTTGGGGGAGTGTCACTTCATGTTTACCAACAACAGAGAGGTCAGCGATCCAGAAGACCCCATCAGCAGGACAGCAAGGCTCCTCCATGCAATCCTCTCACAGAGCAGTCAGTTCTGCCCACCTAGTGCCAGGAAAGGAGGGAGGAACCCACCCCCTTTACTGAAATGAAGCCCCAAAAGTTTGCTGGGCGCTCTCTTTCACACAGGCTATGCTGTCACAAAACACAAGAGCCCCTCAGTGGTGTCACAGGGTTTATTATCCTGTCTGTACAGTCCTCAGTAGATGCAGTTTAGATGATTCCAATCTGGAAAGAAGCAAAGCATGTTAAAACAGATGTTATGGTGGCAGAAAGGCAGAGCCTCCACCACAGACATTGTTGCCATGGCTGCATCTCCCCAGGATTCCTGTCCTCCGAGGACAGGCTTCTTCCTCCCAGACCTGCCCAAGAGCCTCACACAACCGCTTTATATGTTTATTCCACAGTGACCCTTGTGCTAAGCCACGGTCCCCTACTCCAGTTTGTACCACCACTGCCTCCTGCCTACCTCAACCACCTCGAGGACTAAACTGTCTGCCACTTCCAGCGACACAGCTACCTGCACGGTAGAAACCCCTCCTTCACCCAGGCCAGCAGCACAGCAGTGCCCCTGCCATCACTTTGCCTGTTCGAATCACCTGCCAACAGTGCTGGCCAAGAACGCTGTTAAGACAAATGCTGTGTCAACCTGGAAGCTGCAGGGCAGTTTCCACATTCTCCATGCTAATACTCTGGAGCTCTTGTACTCCTGTGGAGCCCCTGCCTGGAGGAGTTGAAGAACAGCAGCAATTCTCTCTCCGTAACTTTTCCCACCTAACCTCAGGATCTTCCAGGCAGAACTGTGTTTTGCTAGACAAGGTGGTCTTGCTTCTGAACACTCAGATCCTGTCTAACTACAAGGACACTCCAGAGAAGTGTCACCGTACTTGAAGTACAAGTACCTCACCTGTATGTCAGGAAGAACAATCAGGTGGAGGAGATACAAGACAGCTAACAGGAGCTGCAAAGTTTCAAAGATTTCTCACCTTGTTGGCTACATCCAGCGCATCGTAATCTGGAGCCAGTCGGACATAAGCCTTCTTCTCCCCATCAGGCCTAGAGTGGAACAGGAGGCATCAGAATAGAGGCACAGAACTACTCCCACCTGTTCCACATTCCCACTACACCGATGTGCATCAGTGGTTCCTTTGGAAACATCACTTTACTCAGTGGTAAAGAATGTTCACATCATTTGCACAAGACTCCCTGGGTGTTAGAAGAGCTCCCTGGTGAAGCCAACCCCCTGATCTGCTAACATTGCCCGCTTTCACCAAGATGCACTTAGTCACAAGTCGCATTTCTCAAAACTTTAACACTGAAAACACTACAGAGCTTAATCCCACACCTCCTGAGAGCACCCACAACTGCTGAAACTCACATGTGTTCCCATTTTCTGCTAAAAGCCACTCCAGGCTCTTGAAGCATCTCACACTCACCAGTGACCTATTCTCCCCCTCTTCTCACCTAATCAGTGTGTTGACCTTGGCCACATCGATATCGTACAGCTTCTTGACAGCCTGTTTGATCTGGTGCTTGTTTGCCTTGACATCAACGATGAAAACCAGAGTATTGTTATCCTCTATCTTCTTCATCGCAGACTCTGTGGTCAAAGGGAACTTGATAATGGCATAATGGTCCAGCCTGCAGGAGAGAGACCCTGTGGTTAACAGAAGGCTGGCAGACACTGTCTCTGCACTTCAGGGGCTTTCTTTGGGGTGCATCAGCTACCAGAAAAGTTCTAATCACAAACTCTCAGGCTTTGGTCGCTTGAAATCATCACCTGCACCCCAAACACCACCACCCCCAGCCCTCTGACACCAAGGTGTGGCTCAGCTCCCAGGGCGGCACGCTGCCAAGGTCTCACCCTGGGACCTGCAGCAGGGCAGGGCCCAACACCCCACACGTACTTGTTTCTCCGTGGGGCACTCTTCCGGGGGTACTTGGGCTGCCGCCGCAGTCGCAGTGTCTTGGGCCTGCGGAATGTGGGCGACGTGCGGATCTTCTTCTTCTTGTGACTGTGGACCCCCTTCAGAACAGCCTTCTTGGCCTTCAGTGCCTTAGCCTTTGCCTCTGTCTTCGGAGGCACAGCTATGACAACAGCTCAGTCAGCACAGCCAGGATCTGGAGGACCAGTATATGCTCCCCTGCCTGTCCTAATGGACCATGGCTTCCCCTGTCACACAACTCAATGAACAGGACCTCTCCAAGCGGTCCACGCTCCCTCATCCAACCAAGACCAACCCCAAAAAGCCCAAGAGGGCTGAAGTTTCCCCCTCCCCGCCCCCCCCCCAACAAACCAGTCTCCCACCTCACCAACGGACAGGGCCACTCATTCCATCCCCAGCTCCCTCAACCCCCTGCAGACCCCAGGAGTCCCAGCACCGACATCGCGGCCCACCCTTTCTCAGATAACGGGGTTGCACCCGCCGGTGCAGGCCTCTCCCGCCCCCCCTCCACGTGCCCGCGGCCCAGCACCAGGCTGAAGCCCTCCACCACCCCACCACCTGCCTCAGACCGACTCCCCCCCTCCACGTACACCCGCACCCCGGAGAATGCCTCATCACGACCCCCCCTAAGCCCCCTAAGACCCCGCCGACGCCCCCAGCCCTCACCCTCCTTCTTCGCTTTGGGCGCCATCTTGGCCAGGCGGAAGCCGAAAGGGGCTTCCCGCCCCGCACCGCACGGGCTTATAGCCCCAAATCTCGCGAGATTTCGCCCCCCGCTCTCCCTTCGCCCACCCAACTCTCGCGATACTTCAGGAGCCCGCCGGGAATGGTAGTACTACCCGCTGCCTGCCTCATTCGCGCATGCGCAGGCGTGTCCCCGCCCCGCGGGGCCTCATGGGAGTTGTAGTTCTACTACGGAGTCGACTACAGCCCCCCCCCCCCGCCGCCGCCCCGACGGCGGAGAACGGGGACGAGCCCCGGTGTGGGGAGGGATTACCGGGGTCCCGTTGCCTGGGCAGCACCGCGGTGGCCCAGCCCCGGAGGAACCGGCGTCCTGGCCCCTCCCCCGCCCCGAAAGGGGCGGGGGAGGGGCCAGGACGCCGGTTCCTCCGGGGCTGGGCGTGCAGCGCCGAGCACCGCTACCGGAGCCGGGCGTTTCGCGGTAACGGGGACCCCCCCTACACACACACACCCCATTTTCCCGCGGAAGGGACCAGGACAGGGTGGGGAGGGCTTGGTCGTGGACCGGGAATGCGTCGAGGGGACAAGCTTGGGGGACACGGAGTGGGGAGGGACACGGGGACCGGTGGGACGCAGAGACGGTCGCGGAGCTGGGGTCGGGTGGGACGTGGGGACAGTCGCAGTCGGGGACCGGTGGGATACGGGGATGGGTGTGCAGTGGGATGCCACGCTTGGGATGTGGGGGACAGTTGGGGACACGGGGACAGTGGTACCCCGGTGTGCAGGGACATGGGGGCAGCTGTATCCCAGCGTGTGGGGACAAGCCACGCTTGGGGACATGGGGACAGCCGTACCCTGCGATGGCCCACTCAGGATGTGGGGATGGCTGGGACATGGGGACAGCTGGGAACACGGGGACAGCTGCACCCCAGGGTGTGGGGACAGCCCCACTCGGGGATCTTGAGGTGGCTGGGACACGGGGACAGCCAGGCTTGGGGATGTGGGGACAGGCAGGACGTGGGGACAGCCACGTCCCAGGGACGTGGAGACAATTGGGATAAGGGGACAGCCACGCTTGGGGACACAGGGACAGCCGTATTCTGGGATGCTGTGCATGAGGACGTGGGGACAGCTGGGACACAGCGACATCGCCGCTCCCTGCTCCTTCTGTCCCCAGGCCTCGCGGTGGCCCTCAGCTTGTCCCC